TTTTTTTTTTTTTTTTTTTGGTACTGGGGATCAAACTTGGGACCTTGGGCTTGCAAGGCAGGAGGCGGAAGCTTGTGGAATTTTAAAGTCACTGGCACATAGTAGGTGTCCCCTGACAAACTCACACTGAGATTCAACTACCACAGTGATGGAATTGGGAGGATGGTACCTCCAGAAGGAGGTCATGAGAACTCCACTCTCATGATAGATCAAGCTGTTAGTTATTAGGAGAGAGGATTGTTCTAAAAGGGAATTGGGCTTCCTCAGTGTTCTCTTATTCACCATGTGATGTCTGCTGTTGTGTTATGATACACCAGTGGTAGCCCTTTCATCCTGGACTTCCAAGCCTCCAAAACTATAAGACAAAAACTACTTTTCTTCACAAATTACCCAGTGTGTGATGTCCTGTCATAGCAACACAAAACGGACTAAGGGGAATATAAATGTATTGAATGAATAAAAAAGTTAGATAAGCCTCCAATTTCTTTCCTGTAGAAAACAGATAACAATTCCCACAGCTTAAGATTATTGGGAGGAATAGGTGAAACACGTGGTGTGAAGACAGCACTGTCCTTGTCCCCCCATAGTCCCTGGGAAGAGGACAGTCCTTACTCCTTCACTGGCCCCTTCAAGAAACTAGACCTTGGTGTCTGGGCTCAGCTAAGCATTTCCCTGTGCTGTGAATGCATGCTGACTGCTCAAGCTGTGCCACCTCCAGCAATGACACCCAACAGGTGCTGCCTCTGTTTGCCTAAAACATTTCAGGGTGTAATGGCAACACGCATTGTCTGCCATCTGAAGCCAAGCATAAGTTGAAGTTCCAAACACATTCTTATGCATGGAATGTGGAGTAATTAGTATAATTATTAGGGGGGTTAATGAAGCTGGGAACAGCACATCAAGCACACATTTAAACAAAACCTTTTTCAAAAAGTGGGTGGAAAAGTTTGCCACTTAACTTTCTCCTTTTTTTAGAATTTGGATTTCAGGGTTTGAGCTCAGCATAAATTCACTGTTTTCTCCCCACAAACCCAGGCTACTCTTTGTCTCCCCATGGCTGTTGTGATATTGCTGTAAGAGGGAAAGCTAGAGTGTCTGTGGTTGTTTCATTCTGCATATGCAATTAATAACCAAGGCTGCTGATTTCACCTTGTTGGCATTTCTGGACTTGGTCTGCACTCTTCACCCCACTACCACTGTCCAGGGCAAAGGTAGCTCCGTTGTCCTCTGGGTGATGGCATTGCCTCCTAAGTGGCTTCCCAACACATATCTTCCTGGTCACCTTATTCTTAGGTTGGGGTTCCCAGAGGCGGATCCTGAGATGAAATTTCCTGTGGAGGACATTTTTTTAAAGATAGTTTTCCTGGGATAAACCAAGAGATGGAGTAGAGAAGGCAGATTGGGGCAGAAAAAAAAGCAAGGGAAGATGGGTAAGTAATAGTAGCACCCTGAGCCGAGGCCCTTGGAGGGCAGCTGTGGTTTGACCTAGCAGTACAATGTAGGTCATGTCTTAGAGCTGTCTCTGTTAGGGTGAGAGAGCTAGAGTATGTATTTAGATTCTGGCAACTTCAATTGTGGGTCAGGCCATGGTACCCAAACTGTGTGCCACAGTATTCCAGGTGTTGTGGGATATTTTAAGTTTTGGAGGAAAATACAGAAACAGCTGCTAGACTATCTCAAGAGAGTTTGCAGTTTCCACATTAGCTTGCCCTACATTCTATTTGAATGACATCAAATGTTTGTGAAACTGGGTGTTAAGCAGGAGCTAGGATCAAAAGCAAGTACCTAATGGAAATCAATGCAGAGCAGGAAATGAGGGTGGTGATGTCCGATCTGTTTCTAAGAATGGAAGAGCTGTAAGGTGCCCAATAAGCCTTGCACATCCCATCAATAAGTAATTGTGGTTATTTATGATGAAGTCAACATGCTATTTTCTGCTTTAATTTTTATGTAGCATATTCACAAACAGTGACTGAATTGTTAGGACATAAATACTAGTTCAACTGTTTGGACTGCATTTTACTTAATAAACGGCACTGTTAGTTTTATTTTTTTGTTTTGGTCTAATAGTGCACAAATTACCGAGACACCAAGGGCCCCAAGGAACAGTGGAAGTTCTGGAACCTCTGAGTAAAGAGCTGCCCCTGAGTGGACATAAGTTCCAGGCCCTCTGGCTGTCTGTGCCACAGACAAAGGGGCCTCTGGCAGCTCGAGGGCAGCCTTCTGGCAAAGAGAGGCATAGGTAGGCTGCTAGGTGTGAAGGTACACTAGGAGTCAGTTGGCACAAAAAATGTGAAGGGACTTGAGAGAAGGGTAGACATGCTGTGCTAGAGCTTCTCAAATTACAGTATGTGCACCAGTCCCTTGGAGATCTTTTTAAATATTCTAATTCAGGCTCTGGGAAAGGCCTCGGACACTGCATTCTTAACATGGCCCCTGGTACTGCTGTTGCTCTGAACCTCTCACTTGGAGTGGTAAGATCTACACACCTTTCCTTTCTGTCGTGGCTTGCTCTGCTTTCCAGGTCCACACATAAATACTTTTCTTCAGTGCCTGTCCAATCTAAGACTGATGTGGAGTTCTTGGGGAAGTCCCAGAACTCCCAGAACAGCTTAGAGTTCCATTTAGACTGAGTAACCCAGGCTTAGCCCTGCTTCTGGCCTGGAGGACAGTGAATAATGAAGGTCCCTGTGTCCAAAGTCCTCATTTCTCCTAATTGCTTTGTTTCTTCCTAAAACAGAAGACTGACAGCTCTGGACATTGAGGAATGACAACAGGAAAAGTTGGGCTGATACAGAGCCAAACACTGAGACTGGAGTACCACTCCTGGTATTCCAGGAAAGGCTCTGCTGAGAAAGTTCTTGGACTTACACATAGTGGCCTGAGCCCATTACAGAGAAAGGGAATTTGAGGCCCAAAGATGAGCTTCAGGGCTTGTGGAAGGCGGTGTTAGCTATGAAGATTCCATTTTAACTTTGCCCTCCACCGTAAAGGACAAGATATCCGCTCTGGGAATACTCTGTCCCTGCCAAGCCAAATGCTTATCTTTAAAGATTGTCCTGTGCCGTGATGAATGTTCTTTTACCCAGAGATATAAAGAACTAAAAGAACAGGGAAATTCTAGAGAATGGGGAAATTCCAAAGAAAAGAGAAGTAGGCGTTTCTGTATCAAGGCCAGGACTAAAAATAGCCACAGCCTGTTCAGTGTATAAAAGATCCAGAAAAAAATAAACTTGCGCTCTCAGTCTCTCTGGGAGCCCTCCCGACTCTATCTCTGTGTCTTTCTTTTTCTTCATCCTCACTCCCCCATTCAGGTACTGTTCGACAAGTGACGGCGGGCTCCGTCAAGGGCTGAGAACAGAACTCAATGCATCAGATTTAACACCCAGGACACTGGCTGTCCGCCATCGTTGTCATGTTGAGATGAGGGTATCATCTTGAGGCCCAGATGTTGAAAATATAGCAGAATCTAGTAGTATTGTCGTCAACTAATGCTCCTGGTGTTGGAGTTCACTGATCAGAGATTGGAGGTACTGTACATTGCATGGAATATTGTGGGGAATGCTGACCCAGATATAAAAGGTACTATAGTGGTTTAAATATGAAGTGTCACCCAAAGACTCCTATATGCAGTAATGTAGTAATGTTCGGAGATGGGGCCCAGAGAGGTGATTGGGTCATGAGGTTGCTAATCAATGGATTAATCCATTTATGAGTTCTTAGCCAAATGGGCTCTCAGGAAGGTAGAGTCCACTTGAAAGGAGTAGGTCACTGGAGACATAACGTGGAAGAGAATATCTTGCCCTTAGCTTTTTCCTTCTCTCTGTTTTCCAGCTGCCATGAAGTGAGTAGCTTTCCTTTACCATGCACGTCTACCGTGATGTTTATGTCTTGGAATTATCTGGACTGAAATTTCTGAAACTGCGAACCAAAATAAACTCTTCTTCAGAAGGACAGGTTTGTTCCTAGTATCCCTCTCTAGGTATGTACATAAACTATATCCTCGTTTCCATTTCTTTACTCTTGGCATTAAAATGATGTATCTGCATCTGTTGTAATGCCATCTTACCAGACCTCACAATAGAAGAAGTGAAACATATTTCCCTTGCCTATTACTGTGGGTCCTATTCAATAGATCGCTATGGATTTACATTTTTTTGACTTGGAATATTGCTTTCCCTGTCTGCTTTGAGAGGAAAGAGTTGGGTAACTATCATCCCAGGAGGATGCGGAGGCTCCTAAATGGACCAACAACAGTCTAGTGCCAATCCCATAGGAGCCATAGCTGTCAGTGAGAAGTAAATGCTTCTTGTCATCTCCTGAGCTTATGGGTTATTTGTTACATAGCATTATTGCCACAATAGCTGACTAATGGACTATGGGACATTTGGCTAGTTACTTACGTTAATCTCTGTGGGATGCAGTTTCCTCATCTATAAAAAATGGGCAATAACACTTACCTTGAAGCTCTGTGTTATGGTTTAATAGGCTATGGCATAAGTAAAGCACATGGCGTGGTGCCTATTTTGCAGAGGGCTCTTGATGAATGGAGATTTTAGAGAGAGGGCAGAGTCACTCTATAAGAGCTAGATTTGACAAAAGGGTATTGAGTGAGTACTCACGGTGGATGGCTCAGTGCCAGGAATCATAGGGGATGGATTTCAAATCCTATTCCTGTTACATGATTTATATTGGCTACAGACAGGTCACTGGGCAGAAATCCAGGCTAGATTCTGGACAGAGCAGAGGAGGAAGTTGGGAGTCTACTCCCCTGAATGTTAAGCCTCACTTCTGATCACTGGACCTATATCCTCCTTTCTAGACTATGGGTTCTCTTTTCTTTTATGAGTTTCTGGGCAACTTTACCAATCTCCTGCCACTTCAACAAGACAGTTGTGATAATATGTCATCTCAATGACATTATAACAGAAGCAAAATTATAGCACCTATCAAGGGTAGGATTTAGGAACTTGGAATCCTTCTCAATCCCCTTGCTTTTCCTCTGCCTTTTCTGCTGGAGTAGCCATCCAGATCCACACCCCTCTCCAGGGTCTGAGGCTCTGTTTTTGAGGTAATGCATTTTTTGTTATTCTAAGTGCAAGTTAGTCCAACAGTTTCTCCTAAAATAGGTGGGTGAGAGTGGTCTCAAAAGGCTCTAAGATCCCATGGGCTCAGGATCCCTCACCATTGCCCCTCTAAATGTCCATGAGTAGAAGGGCTGGGATGTCAGTTTTGGCTGCATCCCTGGGAGAGGCTGCCTTCTCTGTGGTGCTACAGGCTGGGCCCGTGGGAGGGTGGAGAAATGAGTCAGATCATGAGTGAGGAGCGAGGTCTGGTAGTGCTGTTTTTTGTGGGGGCGCTCAGTGAATATGCAAGGGCTGGGTGGGAGGTGGCCATAGGGTGCACTGAATTGTGTGTCAGCATCACAGAGGACATGGCCTTCTCCAAATGAAAATTGCTTCCCCTGCTCCCTGTTCAGCCTGGGAAGCTAATATATGCTGCTTTAGAAAATTCGAATAATATAAAAATATGTAAAGAAGACAAGGGAAACAGTAATACCTAAAATATCAGTAGTCAGAAATAACCACCATTTTGAGACATGTAACTCCACACTGATTTTTTAATGTATATGCATGTGAGTGTGCATGTGTGTGTGTGTGAGAGAGAGAGAGACAGAGGGAGAAACAGAGAGACAGAGACAGAGAGAGGTTCTGCTATATGCAGTCTCATCTTCTAAGGAGGGCAGGTTCTGTTTGGTGAGTGGCCTGTTGGGAGCTGACCTTGAGCCCTTGGATGGGTTGGAATGCATGCAAAGGTGGCCTAGATATGGATTTGGGGGTGGAGCAGGAGAGGCATTGAATTGCTCTGCTTCATAAAGTGAGAAGAGCTCCAAGCTCCCAGGCTCCATCAAGAGCTAGAGGGAGAGCAATAGAGCTGAAAATAGAAAGAAAAATAAAAGCACAAAGCACAGCCCAGTAGGAGGCTGAGCCATGGGCAAAGGAATGGTCAAGACATCTTTGAAAAATGGGGACACCTAATTACTGAGTTTCAAGTTGCATGCTTTGTTGCTATGAAAAGCCTTCAACAGGCTTCCACAAGCCATTAACCATGTTCATGACACACACAGACCTCATGTGAGTGTCCTAGGGTAGACATCAAGGACAGTTGACTCTATATTGGGGTTGTCAGGGTGTGAAACCAACATAAGTACACGGGAAAGTAAGATAACCCTGACCTTGAACTCATTCAGTGAAAGGATATGGTGGTGATGGTGGTGGTGAGGGAGTGTGATGGAGAATCCAAATGTGACTACATCAACAAATGTCCTGGGCTGGGGATTTAGCTCAGTGATTCTGCCGCCTGCCTCAAAAACACAAGGTCCCAAGTTCAATCCTCAGTACCAAAACAAAAACAGAAACAAATGTCCTTCCAGAATTCACACCAGTACTGGGGTCAGGGATTCCCAATTTGTGGATGGTAGTTTCAAGCCAATTTTTTCTAGTTCTGACTATAGGCTGATCCTAGACATCTAGGTTGTGTTTCTGTTTATGGGTTTTATTTTAATAGAATTTCATAGCCCTTGCTGTGTTATATGTCTTTTCACTCAGTCTGTGTCTTATGCATGTTGACCTGTCACTAAGTTTGTATCTAGTTCACTCTGCTTCATGTCTAGATGGTAAACTGTTGGGAGGAACTAACAATGTAATAACTACTGCTCTACCAATAGGCATTTAAATAATGCCCAGTATTTCTGTGATAAAATCCTTCTATTTCTATCTTGGAAGATTTGTTGATGTGGCTACTTAAAAATTGGTTTTAGGTGAGAATACCAAAAACAAATGAACCAAACCCCCAAACAAACAAACATACAAACAAACAAACAAAAGGCCAACAAAACATAAACCACATTGGTAATTTTATTTCATTCTATGGAGGAACTAGTTGAAGGCCTTGCCAGCAGCCCCAAAGACCCCCACAGGTTGCAAAGGGTAGTTGGGTTTTAGTGAATATTACCTGACCTGTCAGGTTGGGGGTGCAACACTGACACCCCCTTATGCCAGGAGAGTCAAAGGATCATAGATGCAATTCTTTCCCTGACTGTGAATTTGGAACTGGGCCTGTTTAGGTTTTTAACACATACTCAGTTTACAACCATGGCCTATGACCGCTGGGAAGAAGACAAAGTCTACTGAGGGAAATGGATTTCGTGGTGAGAAAATTAGCAGCTCAGGCAAAAAGCTGCTATTTGGCTCCACTGTCAAAGGCAAGGAATATCAAAGCTGGAAACTTCCTTCATGAGTAGGTCTGGTGTCTTCATTTCACAGATGGGGAAACTGAGGCCCATAATCACACAATTTGTAGTACAATAATGAGAACCACCCTGTTAGCCTTCCTATCCTCATTTTTCAGTAGAGAGAATAGGGGAAGAAGAGACCTGAACCCTGGTGGTCTGGAGCCCTAGTCTGCACACTGTCATTAGAGACCACTGTCTCCTGTCACTGATAAGGGAACGTAGGACTCTGGCCCAAGGCTCCCTGCTTTTCTCCCTCATAAGGCATCCCTCAGCAGAGCTGCTGATGTGTCATAATCCATTGGCTACACTCCTCCCTGTCCAAGTGTCTGTCTGTCACAGCTATGAGCCTGGGGGGACATTCTAGGTGGACAAGACAAATGAATAATTCAATAAAAGTGAATAATTTCCATGGCAACCTTACCAGCAAGTGACCTGTTCTGCTGCCTCCCAGGGCTGGATTCACCCTAATAAAGAAGCTCTGTATCAGACGCCACAGAATAGGCTGGGAGATGCTTTTCTTTTATGGAAACTGAAATGAAATAAGGTTGGAAAAGGCAGCAGAGCTGGGCCTCGTGGGACCTCTGATCAGACATTCCTGTGGCAGGTCAGAAGAATGTGACAGGCCCCCCATCACTGTAGGCCTGAACTTGGTGGCAGGGCGGGTGTAAGGAGATCAGTCCTCAGGTTTCAGTGAAAACTGCATTGTCCCCCAGTGTACAAGGATTCCAGGGCACAACTTTCAGAACCCTTACAAAATCTTTTTGCACTAGGAAAGGGAAACTGAGGCCTAGAAAACTGCCCCTTAGAACAGAGTCTAATGTGACTCTGCTGGTGAGTCAGGGATGGAATGGAATCAAGCCAACAAGAGCCAAGATAATGAGAGAAACAACCTCAGGGATGGCTGGGGTGTGGTCAGGACTCAGCCTAAGGCACACTCCTGTGTGGGGGAAGAAGTGTGTGTGCACCAGTGCTCAAGTGCAGACCTTGTCATGGGTGTCTGGGCAAGTTTATGAAGGACTGATCACTCTAGGACATGCCTGGGAAGCCTGGGAACCCTGTGGACATGTACACTGTCATACAAGAGAATTTGTCTACAACGTAAATGTCACCCCCTTTGATGGGGCTTTCCTGTGCCATGTACAACATGAACAACTAGGCAGATTGGCCTTGGTGAGTTGTCTGGCTTTAGGCTAATTATCTTACCTCTCTAAGCTTCGATTTCTTTTGTAAAATGGAAATAATGAAGGTAAACCCAGAACCTTATTGAGTACACAACATGTGACCAATCCTGGGGAGAGGGATGTGGTAGGCAGCCTTTGGAGAGTGAGTTTAGAGGCACCAAGCAAATGAAAGGGTGCAATTTGGCTCATTCTCAGGAATAAGCAGCAGTGTCTTTGCTGTTCCTTCCAACAGATGAAAGAAGAGCATCAGCACGGGAGGCAGCTGGCCCAAGGTCACACAGCTAGCAAGTTGCAGAAGCAAGGTGCAAACTCAGAACTCCTGAACCCAAGGTCTTGGCCTTTCCCTCTCCACCTTCCTTAGGCCTCTGGCTGCTGAAGAAGTCATCACAGAAGAGGAGGAAGAGGTGGAGGGGCTGAGCCTAGGAGCTGCCTCGGTGGAGGGGTTCTCACTTCAGCCCTTTGGATGGTGGCCACAAAGGAATAAAATGAAGTGACAATCTGTGAGCACAGTCTCTCTTTTTCCAATTCAATTATGTCTGCCAACAGCAAATATCATCATTTCAGGCCATGAGAGAGCTGCAGCTTTCGGGAACCTTTGTCTCGTTAGTGTAAATCTCGCACCGTTTTCTTCTGCCTTGGCAAAGACGTTCCTTTAAATTACACTACGCACACCCACCTCTCACCAGTATCATCCTGAACACATGTGTTTTATTTTATGTGATAATAATCATCAAACACACACCAATTTGATTTGGGCCAGTGCAGTCATTAAGAATAGATGCTTTCCTTTTCTATCATTTTATAGGTCAGACCATCAGACAGGGGTAATAAAAATAGTGAAAATAGTAACAGCTGCTCAGTACTCTGCTAATATCTTCGCATCTAACATTTCATTTAGTGAATCACTAGGTGACATTGATATTTTTATTATTTTTTCCATTTTATTTTTATTATTCCCATTAGTTGAATAATAGAGCTGGGACTCTAAAACAAGGTCTCCAACAACAAGATGCATTTACCTAGGTGCTGTTTAACCTCCCTGAGACATTGGGGATCTCCAAGACCTTTCAAAAGGTCCTTCGCTGACAGCTTCAGGCATGAAAAGCACACTTGCATTCAGAATCCAGCTGATGCCCAGTAAGGAGGCCAAAGTCCTCATGGCCTGGCCCTCTCTCAACCAAAGGCAGAGGTTCTAAACAAAGGCTTGTTTTGTCTCCCAGAGGATATTTTGCAACATCTGGAGATTTCTGATTGTTGTGACCATGACCGGGAGAAAGGGTTGCTGTCGAGAACACAGGGACACTGAAGTCTTGCAGAGCACAGAATGGTTCATAGAATCCAGAAACATTCATTCCAAACTAGTCAGTAGGGTTGAAGTGTCAGGGAAGGGACAGGAAGAATGCGTGGTCAGGAGAGCAGCAGAGAGCAAAACGTCTGTAGGGATTAGGACACTGGCTTTCTGGTGCTCCCTCAGCTCCAGGTACCATTTTCAGTACTTGACATTCTTTTACTCATCCATGCTTTTCACTCAAACACCTCTGGTGGGAAGGACAATTTTTGGTATCCTCATTTTACAGAGGAAGAAACTGAGGATTGAGAGGTTAAGCAAGTTGTCCAGAATCACACAGCTCACAAAGGGCAGGGCTGGGATCAGAACCCAGGTAGCCGGATACTAGACCATAGTTCTACCTTAGCTATTTCCCCATTCTGCCTCTGAGAGCCCAGGCTTTGAAGCCACCCAGATCAAGTTTAAAGTCCTGTCTCGGATACTGGTTATCTATGTGACTTTGACAAGTTGCCCAACTCTTCTGAGACTCAGTCTCCTAAACTCTTTATTAGGGATTCTATATTCGTTTCCTAGGACTATATCCCAATTGCCAAAAACTTGAAGGCTTAAAACAATGGAAATTTATTTTTTCACAGTTCTGAAAGCAGAAAATCCAAATCAAGGGGCCCACGGGGCAGCAGTTCCCATGGAAGATCTACAGATGAGTTTGTTCTTTGCTTCTTCAGCTCCAGGTTTTCCAGACATTCCTGTACTGTGACTATAGAATTCCAATCTCTGCTTGGCCTTCTCACAGACTTCTGTAGTGTCTGACTCTTTTCTTCTGTCTTCTGTTAAGAACAATTGTCAAGGATTTAGGGATAATCCAGGATAACTCATGTTGAGGTTCTTAACTTAATTGCATGTGCCAAGATTTTTTTTTCAAAATAAGGTCAAATTTGCAAGTTCTAGGAGTTAGAATGTAGACATAGCTTTCTGGGGGCCACCATTCAACCTGCTGTGGACACTGATGCTACATCATCAAATGGGATTATAAATAGAAAGACACCAAGCATGCCAATCTTCAGTAAATCTTAGATGACCCTAGTTAGCATGTGGTAGGGACTTGGTAACTGCAAAAGATACCATATGACTGGTACAGCTATACCCTGTCTTGGTGGAGTGACAGAATGCTTCATGATTTGTATCAGTGCTTTGGGTCCTGATTATTTGGGTCAGTTTATGGTCCCTTGCTTTAGGATAAGCATTTGAGACTAGGAGATAGTGTGGTTTTTCCATCTTTGCCCTGGCCTGTCTTCTCCATCCTGCTTACCTGTGTCTTCTCTGGCCCAACACCCTACACACCCTGTGACCATCTCTGAGTCCCCAAGTAGGCATATAGACCCCTTAGAGGCCAAAGTCACTTAGCCTGTAATTGGGAGTCAGATTTATAATTCTGCCTTTTGACAGGATCCTTGAGAATAGGAGTCATCCATAAGTACCCTTTGCACAACAACCCAATTCTTCATCCTCTCAGCATGCAGAGGGTGGCACTTCCTAGTTTCTAAAGATTGGGTACAACTGTGTGAGTAGTTCAGTCAATGAGTCTGAAAGAGTGTGATGTGCTTTATTTCTGGGTTGGGTCATTTCATGCTGGTGCAAACCCCTTAAGACCCGTCTTCCACGTGTGTAATGCTCCAGGCAGTGGCTGCCCCATAGGATTGTGTGTTAGGGGAGGAGTTTATGAGGCAAGATGGCATAGTGAGGCCTGATGGACTTGACGCCTGAGTAAGAGAAACCTTGGTGCTCCTAAGACATTGATGCCAGGCTGCAGGACTGCACCTCTCCAGGCTGAGAGTTGAAGGAGGAGACAGAAGTCCAGGCTGCTAGGTACCTGGGAGTCAGCTCAGAGGAAATGCATTCTAACAGCATAAAGGACTCTGAATGAGCTGTGATTCTTACAGAACCCATTGTTCTCTGCTCCTCTCCAGAGCCTTGGTAATGCAAAAAGGGTCAGGGCTAGTCACAGTGGACCTTATGGAAAAATAGTGTAAAGCTTTCACTAAGGATGGCTAGCCAGCCTAGGTATTGTGGATTTGATCTTGATTATTAGATTTCAAAAATAATCTCTCCAAATACAATCATGGAACAGAAAAGGACATGAGTGGGGACATGAGAGATATCCAAATAAAAGTTTCTCATTTAGTTAATCATAGCATAGCAATGTTAATGTCTCAGTTATGATAACTGCATGTAGGTTATGTTAGGTGTTCCTAACATTAGGGAAGTTGGCTAAAGGGAACTCTCTTACATTTGTTATTCTGCCTCTGGCTAACAAAGTCTAATTATCTTGAGGGAAACTGAGGCTGTATAGCCCTTATTCCTTGAAACACAAAATTCCTTGGAACATGCTCTGTCTGGCCATGCTGGCCAGATGGAGTCCACCTCCCTTGGCCTAAGCGTCTGATGCATCCGGGAAGAATTGGGTGAAGGCTGACTTTAAGGTGAGAGTCAGCAAAGAGGAATCAGTCCCCTTTCAATGGATGGCATTAAACAATGAAAGCTTCATCTTCTAATCACATTACCTCACCCCAGGGGGTGTTTCCCAGCCCATTATCACATGGTGTGGTTGGCTGGATCTCCATTTGTCACAGCAAACATCAGGCATATGGTAATGGTCCCGTAAAACATGCCCTGTTGGGTCTTAATGTCTATTTAATGACACCTGCTATGAAGGCTCCCATAACTGAACCCCTAATGGGAGATGAGGGGATATTAGATTTTGGAGGAGAGTTCTCTGAATGACAGGCTGCCTTTTTCCAGGAGGCCAATGCTGAGCTAAGTTGGGTGGGGATGGCTGATATCGAATCACAGAATTTAACTGTGGCAGGGGCTCTAAGAGATGGGCTGGCCAGAAAAGGTCTTTGGTAATGGTGAAGGGTGAATAAAGCCCCTAAGCAGGGGCACAAAAATGGTTCTGGTAGGGACACATGGAATATCAAGCTTGATTTGCATTTCTTTTATTGACCCTTAATCTGTGTTCAAAGTGAATCCTAACTACTTCATCTATTTGGAATGGGGAAGAATAGCTAATTTTGGTGGAAGTAAGGTTGAGGAATTTCTTTTTTATCTTCTCAAGAGTTGGAAATCTTCCAGTTCTCTTCCATCTCTTCTCTTCCTTCTTTCTTTTTCTTTGTGTATCTCTAGGCCTCAGTTGTCAGCCTCAGGTAGAAAGAGGTAGAGTAAGTCTTAGGAAAAAGAAGGTTTCAAGGAGGACAGGGAGATTTCACTCCTCCTCCATGTGAAAATCATATCCTGGGAAAGGTGCAGTTCTGAGAACACTGAGAGCCCGTGCCTTCCTTGTGTGCTGGGTTAAATACTGAGATGTTTGCTATGGAGACCGTGTTTTCCAAAGAGAATTGCAGTACTACCTTCCATTGCACATGATTTATAATGTGAGTATCAAGAGGCAGAGTTCAATTTCCCATTCCTTGAATCCATGTTGGCCCATGACTCACTTGTAACCAAGAAGCTGTAGCTGGATGTGATACTTAATGCCTTCTGAGGCCGGATCAGAGAAGGCCATGTAGCTTCTATCTGCTTCCCTTGGGACTCTTTCCCTGAGGGAAGTCAGACAGCTTAGGAAATGTGACCAGAGAGGCTATACACAGATGCTCCAGTCAACAACACTTTCTGAACTCTCATCTGACAGCCTTCAGATGGCTGAACCCCCAGCTGATATGTTCTTGCAGACTGCACGAGAGACTGCTCACACGCTAAGCTCTTCACCTATAAAATTGTGAACAAATTAAAATGATTTCTTTCAGGCCTCTAGTTTTTTGAGGGTAATTTGTTACACAATAATAAATGGAAAACTGAACAAATTCAGCTCTTGCCATTGAAAGATTCACAATATTATCAGAGATTGGAGACATCTAAGTACTGGTCAAACTATGACATAGTGGATCTACACATAGGAACACGGAGAGGAAGTGGCCAAATGGCCAGAGAATCAGGGTATTTGGCCAGGAAAGGATAGCATGTGGAAAGGTAAGGGAACATCACAGGAGGTCAAGTTGGGATCATATTTTTTTTTTTCAGAACTGGGGAATGAACCCAGGCCCTTTGCACTGAGCACCATGCCTCAAGCTCTTCTTTTAAGTTTTTATTTTGAGACAGTGCCTCACTAAGTTCAGCCTGGGCTCAAATTTACTATATATTCTTGCCTCAGCCTTCTAGA